ACTGCTTGAAACCAGCAGAAGTCTCCCGGAGGAGCCAGAAGTGAGCTGAGAAGTTCGCCATGCCAGGCCCCTTTTGGCCTGCAGTCCGATCCCAGAAGGGGAGCGGGCACCCAAGACTGGGGCAGACCGGGCACGCAGAGGAGTGCGAACCAGCATTGCCTTTTTAGAACAGGGACCTTTCTTCAGTAAAGCCTGCTTGAAACCAGCAAATGGCTCCAGGGGAGCCAGAGGTGTGCTGGGAAGTACGACCAAGATGCTGGCCAGTACCAGCAACACAGTGTCCCAATGCATACTGCAAATTAGAAAACAGACAGTAGGGAGTAGAAAAACCACATGCAACCCAGCAAATCCTCAGGAAAAAAGCACACCACAAAAAGAAAACCACCCCCCAGATTGCAACGACAGTAACTTGGAAGAACTTCTGAGCCTTCCAGAAAGAGAATTTAAAATTGCCATGATTAAAAAAACTGACAGAAGTCATAAAGGAAAACAATGATAAGGGAAAAATAATCAACGAGCAGAAGAATGAAATTGAGTCCCTAAAGAGGGAAATAAAAGAAATGCAGGATATCAAAGAATTAATGGAGGTGCTAAAGAACTCTGGGAAAAGAAATGAAAGCAGAATAGATGAAATGGAAGAACGAATAAGTACTCTTGAAGACACAGAAATAAAAAGAACCAAAACAGAAAAGGAAAGAGAAGTATGAAGGAAAAAGACCGAAGAAAGACTTCGGGAACTATCTGACTCCATGAGGAAAGGAAATATAAGAGTTATAGGAATCCCAGAAGGAGAGGAGAGAGATGTAGGAACAGAGAAAATATTCAAGGAGATAATTGAAGAGAACTTCTCAAACGTGAAGAAGGAGCTGAAAATTGATATACAAGAAGCAAGAAGAACACCAAACGTCCATGACAAAAGGAAAAATATAGCAAGACACATAATAGTAAAGCTCCCAAGAATCCAGGACAAGGAAAAAATAATGAAGCTGACAAGAGGGAAGAAACAGATAACATTCAAAGGAAAACCAATCAGACTGACATCAGACTTCTCCGAAGAAACACTATGGGCAAGGAGAGAGTGGAGGGACACAGTGAACAGACTCCAAGAAAACAGATGCCAACCAAGAATACTCTATCCCGCAAAGCTCTCCTTCCTCTATGAAGAAAGAATAAGGACCTTCCCAGACAAACAGAAACTCCGGAATTTCATTACGACTAAACCCCCACTCCAAAAAATACTACAAGGTGTCCTAAAGCCAGAACCTCAGAGGGACGAATAACAACGAAAGAAGGCCAAAGGAAAAAAAAGTTATTAAAAGAATAAATAAATAAAATCAAAGGAAAGACAAACACAATGACAAATACAGATGCTAACATATCACTATTAACTCTAAATGTAAATGAACTAAACTCTTCAATAAAAAGACACAGAGTTGCAGCCTGGATTAAGAAACAAAATCCAACCTTTTGCTGTCTCCAGGAAACATATTTAGCTACAAAAGATAAAAATAGACTCAAAGTTAAAGGATGGAAAACAATCCTACAAACAAATGGACCAAAAAAGAAAGCAGGAACAGCTATACTTATATCAGATAAAACAGATTTCAAACTCAAAAAGATAAAGAGACTCCAATGGTCACTACATTATGATCAAGGGGACAATACTTCAAGAAGAAATAACACTCATTAACATATATTCACCAAACGAAGGAGCACCAAAATATATCAGACAACTATTGTCATCTCTGAAAACAGACATCAGAGAAAACACATACGTAGTGGGAGATTTCAACACACCACTGTCAACAATGGATAGATCAATGAGACAAAAAGTAAGTAAAGATACTAAAGCTCTAAATAAGGATCTAGAGTGCTTGGGCTTAACAGACATCTATAGAACACTAAACCCAAAAAAATCTGAGTACACATTTTTCTCAAGCGCACACAGATCATTCTCCAGGATCGATCACATACTGGGACACAAGACAAACATCAACAGATACACCAAGATTGAAATCATACCAACCATCTTTTCTGACCATGAAGGCATCAAACTAGAAATAAACCATAAAAAGAAGGGGAGGAACTCTCCTGCCTCATGGAGATTGAAAACCACACTTTCAGAAGACCACTGGACTAACGAGGAGATCAAAGAAGAAATTTAAAAATTCTTTGAATTGAATGACAAGGAAGACACCAATTTCCTAAATGTATGGGATGCAGCAAAAGCAGTAATAAGAGGAAAATATATAACAATAGAGGCTCACATCAAGAAACAAGAAAGAACTCAAAGAAACAACCTAATCTCGAAGCTCAAAGATCTAGAAAAAGAACAACAACAAAAAAAGCCCAAAACCAGTAGAAGAAAAGAAATAATAAAAACCAAAGCAGAAATAAATGAAATCGAAACTAAAAAAACAATCCAAAAGATCAATGAAACCAAGAGCTGGTTCTTTGAAAAAATAAATAAAATAGACAAAACCCTAGCGAGGCTCACAAAGGAAAAAAGGGAGAAAGCACAAATAAACAGGATCATAGATGAAAGAGAAGAAATCACAATGGACACAGCAGAAATCAAAAGACTAATCAGTAACTACTATGAACAGTTATATGGAAACAAGTTCAACAATCTAGAGGAAATGGACAAATTCCTACAACTCTACAATCACCCACAGCAAGATAAAGAAGAAATAGAACACCTAAACAGACCAATTACAAGCAGCAAAATTGAAATGGTAATCAAAAACCTTCCCCAAAACAAAAGCCCAGGACCTGATGGATTTACAAATGAATTCTATCAAACATACAGAGATGAATTAGTGCCTATCCTTCACAAACTCTTCCAAAAAATTGAGAAGAAAGAGATAATACCAAACACATTCTATGAAGCCAACATTACACTAATACCAAAACCGAACAAGGACAACACAAAAAAAGAAAACTACAGGCCAATCTCCCTAATGAACACTGATGCAAAAATCCTCAATAAAATTTTAGCTATCGGAATCCAACAATGTATCCATAAGATAATTCACCATGACCAAGTAGGATTCATTCCAGGGACACAAGGATGGTTCAACATCCAAAAATCAATCAACGTTATCCAACACATCAACAAAAAGAAATATAAAAACTACATGATAATATCAATAGATGCTAAGAAAGCTTTTGACAAAGTGCAACACCCATTCATGATAAAAGCCCTTGAAATTCTTGGGATACAAGGAACATACTTCAACATCATAAAGGCCATATATGACAAGCCAACAGCCAGTATCATTCTCAATGGTGAAAAGCCGAAAGCATTTCCATTAAGATCTGGAACAAGACAAGGATGTCCACTCTCACTACTGCTTTTCAATATAATACTGGAAGTCCTAGCCAGAGCAATAAGACAAGATGAAGACATACAAGGAATCCAAATAGGAAAAGAAGAAGTCAAACTATCACTATTTGCAGATGATATGATAATATACATAGAGAACCCAAAAAACTCCACAGAAAAACTAATTCAACTCATCAATCAGTTCAGTAAAATGGCAGGATACAAAATCAACACGCAAAAGTCAGTAGCCTTCCTATACACAAACAATAAATCTGAAGAAGAAGAAATAAAAAAAAAATCTCTTTTATTATTGAAACAAAAAAATCAAATATTTGGGAATAAATCTAACAAAAGAGGTAAAGGACCTATACAAAGAAAACTATAAAACACTGTTAAAAGAAATAGAAGAAGACACAAAGAAATGGAAAGACATCCCCTGCTCATGAATTGGAAGAATAAACATTATTTAAATGGCCATCCTACCAAAAGCAATATACAGATTCAATGCTATTCCAATAAAAATTTCAATGTCATTCTTCAAAGAAATAGAACAATTATTGATGAAATTCATATGGAATCACCAAAAACCCCGAATAGCCAAAGCTCTTCTGAAAAAAAAAAGAAGGGAATGGAGGCATCACACTCCCAGACTTCAAACTATACTGCAAAGCCATAATCATCAAAACTGCATGGTATTGGAACAAGAACAGACACACAGACCAATGGAATCAAATAGAAAATCCAGAAATAAACCCACAGATTTATGGTCAACTAATCTTTGACAAAGGAGCAAAGAATATACATTGGAGCAAAGAAAGTTTGTTCAATAAATGGTGCTGGGAAAACTGGGTCGCTACATGCAAAAGAATGAAGCTTGACTACTACCTCACACCATACACAAAAATCAACTCAAAATGGATTAAAGAACTAGACATAAGACCTGAAACCATAAAATATATAGAAGGAAATATAGGTGAAACACTATGTGATATTCACATCAAAGACATCTTTACAGACACATCACCCAAAGCAGTGATAGTGAAGGCAAAGATAAACAGCTGGGACTACATCAAATTAAAGAGCTTCTGCACAGCAAAAGAGACAATAACAAAAACAAAGAGAAACCCCACAGACTGGGAGAACATTTTTGCACACAACACAAATGATAAAGGACTGATCACAAAAATCTACAAAGAGCTGATGAGACTCAACAACAACAAAGAAAATAATCCAGTCAAAAAATGGGCAGAAGAGCTAAAAAGAAACTTCTCTGAAGAGGAAATGCAAATGGCCAACAGGCATATGAAAAAATGTTCAACGTCACTTGTAATCAGGGAAATGCAAATCAAAACTACCATGAGATACCATCTTACACCAGTGAGAATGGCACATATTAAAAAAAACAGCAACAACAAATGTTGGCAAGGTTGTGGAGAAAAAGGAACTCTTCTGCACTGTTGGTGGGAGTGCAAACTGGTCCAACCACTATGGAGAGCTGTGTGGAGATTTCTTGACCTACTAAACATAGAGCTTCCATATGATCCAGCAATTCCACTCCTAGGTGTTTACCCAAAGGACACAGAAACATCAATTCCAAAGAGCACCTGCACCCCTATGTTTATAGCAGCACTGTTTACAATAGCTAAGCTTTGGAAACAACCCAAATGCCCAAAAATAGATGACTGGATCAAGAAGATGTGGTACATATACACCATGGAATGTTACTCTGCATTCAAAAAAGATAAACATGTACAATTTGCAGCAACATGGATGGCGCTGGAAGGGATCATGCTCAGTGAAATAAGCCAGAAATAAAAAGAAAAATACCGGATGGTCTCACTCATAGCAGGAATCTAGAAAACTTAAATAAGGGACCAGGAAAAAGAATAACTATAAGAAAGTGAAAATCAAAATCAACAAACAACTATGAACCAGAGACACTCTATAGGGGGTAGGGGACAGGGAGGGGAGGGATTGGGGTCAAAATAAGTGGGTCGCAATTGTATGGGGAATATAAAAATAAAATTTATAATAAAAAAAAATATATCTACCAAATGATCCAACATTCCATTCCTAGGTATCTGCCTGAAAAATAAAAAGCATTACTTTTAAGTGATAAAGAATAAAAAAGACTACTTTTAAGCACTACTTTCATTGCAGTGCTACCTACACTAGTCAAGTTATGGAAATACCCTAAGTGTGTAACCACAGATGAGGGGATAACGTGTTATATATGTACCTCATGGGGTAATACTCAGTGATTAAAAATAAATAAAACCTTACAATTTGAGACAACATGGATCAAGCTGGAGGAGATTATACTAAATAAGTCAGAACATGAAAGCAAATACTGGATTGTTTCACTCACATGTAGAATACAAAGAAAAAAGCAAAGGAACAGACAGAAACATATGCTTGAAATCTGACTATAGAACTGAAGCTACCCAGAAGAGGAGGGTGTGGAGATGGGAGAAAAGTAGGGAGGGGGCCCAAAGGTGGAGGATCTCTGGAACCTCAGTGATGGGTGTAGTGTGCTAACATACATTTGTAGAGGTGTGAACCTGTACCCCTGAAACACACAGTGTTGTAAAGCAGTATTACTTTCATTAACATTAATTTTCAGATTTAAAAAATAAAGTAATTTAAAAAACTACAACTCAGCAATAAAAAAATTCAAAAATTAGCAAGAATTTGAATAGACATTTTCTCCAAAGGAGCTATGCAATGACCAAGAAATAGATGAGAGATGACATCATTTAACTACTTATGTGTCCTGGTATCATTGCTAAATTTAAAAAGCCCCTATTCCTTGCCCAGCAGGCAAGTTTGGGAGGCATGAATGAATAAAGGGAGTGGAAGGAACTGTCATGGGAACCTGGACAGTAAACTGATAATCTGAAGACCTGATGATCCGCTATGCTACTTCAGATCATCAGTCAGGACACAGACAAGACTAGTTACCTTCACTAGCCAATGGTGCCTAGGGTATAAATAGCACTTCAGGACCCTCACTTTCTGGACAGCAGTCCCCTCCTGTCTTCCCAAATTTGCTGTTCTGTTCTCCACTTTGTCTCTAGTGAGTTCTTTTACCCACACACCTCCCCTCCACCTACACCCAGATTCTTCCCTGACACTGGTTATAACCTGGGCCATGGGATTGGCCTCTGAAGTAAAGAACAGTCTTAAAGGATTAAGCCCTTAAACTTTGTAGGGTCAGTTTTAACTTGTTAGTGTCAGAATTCAATTGTAGGACACCCAGTTGGTGTTCAGAGAGCTGGAGAATTATTTTAAGTCAGGGAAGAAAACCCACACATTCCGCAGTGTTCTGTGTGCAGAGAAAACAAATACTCTTGCCTACACAGGCACACAGTTGATCTGGAAGGAAAGCCTGAGGGCAAATGTAGCTGTGGTTAAATCCACATGAGCTGAATTTCAAAGACCCCCAAAACAAACCTGGAGGGCAATGAGAAAAGAAATGTAAGCTACTTTAATACTGGTGGTACAGACTAAGCTATTTTGTAATCTTTCCCCACCATGAGCTTTTAAGACATGTCACCCTTCAAAGTAGAGTGAATAACTGACTTGCTGCTTTTCTGCCTGTCTACGATAATATCATAGTACAAAGCATGCACTAAATTATTTTTTATTTTACTTTGATGACTGGGAAAAGGTAACAACATGTAAGATTAAATCAATGCTAACAAATTGCTGGCACTTAGCTGGTTAATTTCATTCAAATAAAGACATGTTTGTTTAAACTGAAAAAAATGTTCCTGCTGACACTGTTTTAGTGGAGGTCTTTAAAGTTAATGCCAAGGTGCCAATAATAGCATCACAGCATCCACCTTTAACTCCCTGTTAGGGACACATATCAGCAAGCAGCAGCACGGAAAGTGGATGTGCACCCTACCAATCGGGGTTCTCCCCTTGAAAACCATCCTTTTAACCAATGGCTTACTTAGAAAAGATTCACTTTGGGCTGGTAAGGCTTTGGCCAGACACTCATCATGGCTCATGGTGGGTAGCACATGAGGTAGATTTTCTTTGTGTTTTCCAGACATTCCTATTTGTGCTTTAACCAGGGGAGTGGGTGTCCCACATTCCAAACTTCTGACTTTACAGTCCTAGCCTGGGAAGCCCCTCCACGCTCACCCCCCTCCACCAGACTCCAGGTCAGTCCACAACTCAGCCAGGGATTCTAGCTCTTCAAATCCGGAGGGATGTTTTCTACGTCGACAGGTTGTTCCGGTTTTAACTGGCTGCTTAGAGTTAAAAAGGAATATCTCAAACCCCCTGCCATGCTGAAAGGAAAAAAATGGTGAAAATAAGTCAATGAAATACTACTTAGCTATTAAAAAAAGAAAAAGATCAAGTCCTACCATCTACAACAGACCTCAAGGGCATGATGCTTAGTGAAATAATTCAGACAGAGAAAGATAAACACAGTATGACTTTACTCATACGTGATATATAGACAAAACAAAAGGATGAACTAAATAAAACAAATGTCAACTTTTAGACTATAAGACCAAATTAGTGGGGAGAGGGCAGGGTGGGGAAATCATGTTAAAGGGGCCAATTCTATGGTGAAGCGTCGAATTAGACTTCTAGTGGTGAACTTTATGTAGTATACACACATGCTGATTTTTTAATGATATATATACCTTAAGCTTATATAAAATAGATTCAATAAAAAAAATTTAAGTTAATTTTGTAGGTGATACACCATAAGTTCTTGACCTCATTGTAAATACAGTCAGTTTAATTTGATGGACATTTTTCAAGCTCCCAGTTTTTGTCCTGCAGTTTGTGAATTACTTGAGAATAAACACCGCCCTCTTTATTTACAAATCTTATGGAGGAGAAAAAGAATACACCAAATCTAAACAGAATCTTGGAGAGAAGATAAGCACCAGGTTAATGCTGAATAAACTCTATATATCACTGTCTGAAAACAACACCCATGCCTGGCACCCCAATATGCTTTCACAACTGTGGCAGTCAATTTTTCCAATATCCTCTGATGCTCACTCAGGCCACTTTCAAAAGAGGGAGACAATTAATTTTAGGGAATTTTCTGAGAGGAAAACACAAGAATTAAATTCAGATCTTGGTCCCTTGGCTTTTCATTACATATATCCCCGTAGGACAGAGGGTATATGGGAATATGTCATAAAAATAAATAAATTGAGTCTTTTAAGCAGGATATTCTTAGAAATAGCAATGTCAATGCCACTCCTCTTTAACATATATTAATCAGACAATTTAAAATTCTTATTTTACTAAAATGAGCTCATTAAAAAAAATTCACTTACCAAATATTTAATCCTACAAAGTTTAACACAGAAAAAATATAGTCTCCACCAACTAACATCCCAATGTAGGCAATGGATACATTCTGCAAGAAAAAAAAAGAGGAAGAGAATTAATTACTTTAGAAATAAGAGAGAAATACATATATGTAAGTGAAATCTGAAAATAAATATTTTAGTTACTTTGCACAAATATTTGTACACAGTGGGAGTTCACAGGATGAATGAATAAAACCCACTGCAGATGGCTTTATAAAGAAATGAAGTACACTGTGGCATAATCACAGAAAACTGCATTATTCATGCCCTTTTCCAGTTTATATACAGGAAAAAGATGTAAGAGTTGGATCGTAATCTACATGCCAGCACATATCTCTTTACCATCACTGGATAGTAAATTTTAATCCCTTTGATCCTAAACTTAAGCAAATAAGAGATATCAAATTAATTCCAAGAATACTCTGTCCAGAGTACTTTAGGAGGTCTCTGGGCAGTCCACAGACGAGTCTACATGGAAGTAGGCAGTTCTTTTCCCTCATTCAGGAGATCACATGAATAGAAAAACCAAGCAACTGTACTCCTTTGTGTATTTATGTGAGTATATTCAAGTGAATGTACACAAAACAAAAAACATACCTACAGATCAATCTACAAATTTATTATAATTGAGAATATACCATTGAACCTTCAGAAACAAAGGCTCCACTTACATGAAAATATATACTTTTGCCACAAACACATAATGAAGTTCCACATTCATGGATAAAACCACTACCAACGTCAGTCAGTTGCATCCATGCATGCAGAACCCATAGATTTGGAGGGCCAACTATAAGAAACACTCAAATTTTTATTGTGCAGTGGTTCAGCACCCAGCCCCTAAATCCCCAAGTTGTTCATCAACTGCACCTATATTGAAATAGGTCAGGGGGATTCCCTTTCTTATAGGGTCAGAAAACCCAATTGTAAATAATCAGCTTTCTTGGTGAGCAAAGAAACTTTCAGCATTTTTTACTTCATTTTCCCAGACCATCTCTTCCCATCACCCCCGATTTAAATATCACTAGTTGTCTCCTTTGTAAATCTAACCTTGTTTTCTGAATTAGGAGATCAGAAGTAAGGATTACCATAGCACTGATAACAATAACAAAACCAAACAGATTCTATTGCAAAGATTGAATTTGCCGATGACTCCACCATTCAGTCGTTCCTTCCAAGGCTTGCTCCACTTACCTTGATGGCTCCAACCACAGCAGTTGTCAGGGCCGAGTTATAGTAGCTACACAGGACAGTGGAGTACATCAGCAGAAACCTGGGGTGAGGGAGCAAGGAGTGAGTGCCCTGCTGAGCTGGTTCATAATGACAGATGGGGAGTCAGCAGTCCCCATACAGTGCTTCAAACAAATACCAAAGAAAAACATCATTTACACTCTGACTTATGACAAGAAAATGGAGCGAATCATGCATAGCCAACGAGTCTACCATAAGTATTCTTTTCATTTTGTCTGTGCATTTCCCATGCATGCTTCCACAAAACAGGAGCAAGAACAGTAAGACTTTTTTTATTTAATTTTTTATTTTATATATTTTTACATCATTTTTCATTTTTGCACAATGTACGCATTTTCATCTTGGTTATATTCCTGCATACAATTCCCATCCCCTTTATTTTGACCCTAATTCTTCTTCCCCTCGCACTCCTGTAGTGTGTCTCTGGTGTATAGTTGCTTATTGATTTTGATTTAGTCTTTTTCCTGGTTCCTTATTTAGGTTTTCTAAATTTCTGCTATGAGTGAGACCATCCGGTATTTTTCTTTTTCTTTCTGGCTTATTTCACTGAGCATGATCCCTTCCAGCTCCATCCATGTTGCTGAAAATTGTATGAGTTTATCTTTTTCAATTGCTGAGTAATATTGAATTGTGTATATGCACCACATCTTCTTGATCCAGTCATCTATTTTTGGGCAGAAGAGCTAACAAGGAACTTCTCCAAAGAGGAAATGCAAATGGCCAACAGGCATATGAAAAAATGTTCAGCATCACTTGTAATCAGGGAAATGAAAATCAAAACTACCATGAGATACCATCTTACACCAGTGAGAATGGCACATATTAAAAAAACTAGCTACAACAAATGTTGGTGAGGATGTGGAGAAAAAGACCTTTTTAATGATCTGAAATCCTGCATCGAAGAGCTATGGTAAACAGTGGTTTTAATTCTCTCTGCATATCAGTATCATCTGATATACCTTGAAAACAGTGTCACCTGGCAAAGATCAATCGGTTTGAGATGGGGCCCCGGCCCTGTGTATAAAAGCCCCACAGATGATTCCACTGTGCACAGCACTGAGAACCACAGGTATCAGAAGGTAAAAGTAGCTGAGCTGCTGCTCTGGACTGAAATTGGGATTCCACATGGCAATGACACCCCTGTACCAGACAACCAAATTTCCTCAGCACTCAATGAGCATTTCACACTGACCAGTGAGCACTGACACTTACTTTTCAATAAAATGACTGCAGAATTGTGACCAAGCCCCAGACAAGAAAGAAAGTGAAGTTCAATCTAAAGTAAAGAAAGGTAACCCCTATTGAAGTGGGGTACAAATTCTATCTACCCAAATCAGGTGACTAGGTGTTGAACCCAAATGCAATCAAAACTGGTTGAAATGGAATTGGAAAGATACAGAGAGAGCATAAGATGCATGCAATTCAAAGCTAAATCTCAGTTAAAAGGTATGAGCCTGTTGGACCCCCACTGACAGAGCAACAGGGACCCAGATTCTAAGAAAGAGCTCAGCCTGTGTGTAGGGTAAAGAAAATATCAGGCTTTTCTGCCCTTCCACCATCAGGATAGATGATGGATCCTTGTCCTGAATGCATGCCTGATGGCGGGCACCTGAAATAGGGTGTGGGCATAGGTAGATGGGATTCAGCTGAGCTAAGACTGCTTTTATTTTTTTTTTTTTTTTTTTTTTTTATAAAGGCATGTTTTTATTTATTTATTTGTTTGTTGGTTTGTTTTGCTTATACATGCACTGGGTACAGTCAGAAGTGCGGGAGGGTGAGAGAATTCACCAGAGCCAGAGCGGGGAGCAGAACAGGCAGAAGGACCGGGCGGCAGGAGAGGTCTGCACGCCATGTGGGACCCTCCTCCGGTGGCCGGGGAGCAGCCGGGGATCGAACCGGCGCCACAGAGGCTGCGGGCAGCTTCGCAACCCAGCGCTCAACTGCTGCGCCACTGGGCGGCGTCACGGGGGGACGCCAGCAGCAGCAGCAGCAGCAGCAGCAGCAGCAGTAGAAGCCAAAGCCGAAAGAGAAGCCGAGAAGCAGCAGAACGAACGCCAGAGAGCCCAGATAGAGTGAAGACTTGCTGGGGGCTGGGAGGCTGGCAGGCAGCACCCCTGCCTGCCATATGCCTGGTGAACCCCAATAAAAGACCTGCAAAAAACCCACTGAGGACTCTGACTCCTCCTTTACCCGGTCTGCATGGGATCAGAAAACCTGCACTGTGCCCATGTCCTGCCCTCTACACTGTGTCTCTGGGCTTACTGCCCAGGCTCCAGTCCAGGCCCAAATCTATGGTTGTTAGTAATAGACTCAGGACAAGTCTTCAACACAGTAACTTATTACCAGAGCTGTAGAAGGGAAAAATGAGAGACAAAGTACATCAAGCTTTTACATTAAGTTGAGGAATAAGCTTAATTCAAATTTAAGTTTTATAATCTTTAAAATGTCTTTGTTATTAAGGTGATAACAATTCGACAAGTCAGAAAAAATCCTATCTTTATGATTTAATTTGAAATGTGTAACTGATATTAGACTTGCAATTTTCATTTGAAATTATCAAGAGAATCTGAGTGAGTCTGCACACAGTATTTGAATATTTAGAAGAAGCTGATTTACTGCATTTCAGGTTTGGCTTATTAGAATTCAAAGAGCTGAACAGGTGTATAAAGCAGTCTGGTTTGTTGGCTTTGCTGGAGTCTTATTAGAGCATAAAGTTGCTGGAGAAAAAAAAGATGTAACTCATATTTACAAATGCAGTTTAAAATGTTTGAAACACTTTAATTTGGCTGTAAATGGGACTAATTTACAGTAAATTCTCTAGGAGATCTTAATCAGTTAAACTGAAGTTAATAAACCATTAATGAAATAATGAAAGCAAATGATTTTATGTAAATGCAAAACCCACTAACTTTATAAATAGAGCAACAGTATTTGTACATTGAACTTAAAGGTTTTTAAAAAATCTAAGTTTGAAAGGATCACAATTTTAATAAATTCAGCATTAGAGTCCTGGGGAACTGCAAATAATTCTATCCATGCACACAATAAGAAGATTTTGAAAACTCAGCCTCAGGTTACTGGTGCCTACACCACTCACCCTGGGTGACAGATACATAATCCATGGCATCTCTCCTGGGGAAGCACAAGTTCTAACCAAATAACAGAGATTACAGTTCAGGGAAGGAGCCCAACCTGATCACGGGATACAGAAAAACTTCCTGCAGCTTCTTAAACTTGAGTGCATCCTTAAACAAATCAATCATGGCTTTGTTTTGGTGGGGTTTTTTTTGTTTTTGCTCAAAAATCCAAGTCCACGGTCCTAAACATGCAACATTTTCGTCATCCTACATTTTAGTAAAATCACCTTGATTTACATTCAGAATTGGCAGACACCCTAGGATCCCAGTATCCCCCTACCACAAGCATGACCAACTAGGACACTCACCAACTAGGCTGAGTGACAGGAGGAGCTAGCTACCTTCCTCAATGTCCCAGAACAAGTCTGATTAGTATCAGTCTTTCCAAGTGACAGATGGGGTCTTAGTAAGAGAACATTCACTTTCTGTTCAAATAGGAAGGCTGCACTTCTTCATATCACCACTTGGTGTCCCCAGAGAGGATGAAGATAAAACCACTAGGATCACAGTGCATTAAAATTGTTTTCAAAAAAACATTGTCTATTTCTATGTGCAAATACATTACCAGGCAATCCTTTTCCTAAGACCAAGGAACTAAAAGAACCTCCACTGACTCAATATAAGAGAAACCACATCACTTTTAACACCAAAAATGTCAACCTCCATGTGAGATTAATTTTAACTTTAACATCTGTGGATTAATAAAATGCAACGATATTGAAAAGCATTGTGAATTCTTAGTCACGTTTTTGCCACTCTGAATTTTTTAAATTATATATGATATGTATACATTTGAAAAATAATAGCACACATATACGTATATTTAGCCAACATGCCAACTGCATGTTTTGCCTTACAAGGGCCCAAAGGGATGGAGACACTCAGATGGAAACCCCCAGGACCCCTGCCCAAAGATTCCTCCCAGCTTCTGATAATGACTTAAAAAACAATTTACCCAAGGTTGTGTGGCATGCTCGTGACAGTCACAAAAGAACTCAAATGACCTCATTAATAACTTGTTGCTAATTGCCGTTCCATGCAAGAGCATATAAAGACCTATTCAGCACAAGTGGTCAAAATAAAAGGTTACTTTTACACTTCTTCCAACAACCACAACCACAACCCAAGCACATTATTCTTTTATAATTCCAGATTTCAACAAATTTTAACTAATCTCATTTTGCCCGTCATTGGTAAGAATTTGCTTCTACCCAAGGCATCGCTGGTGTGCCAGGGATGCTAAGACCATGGGACAAATATGATCCATCTTCCTGAGGCACCAATTTTATGCTATACTCTTTGATTGGTAGAAAAATAATGAGAATATCTGTGTTCTTTAAAATTTCTGCCATAATCTATAGTATCCCTTTTTCTCCTAGACACTGCATCTCAGCAATATCAGTGCAGGTTCAAAAAATGAAGCATCTTTTATGCTATAAGTAGGGAAAATTTGATACTTTTGTGCTTTTATTAAAGAATGTACTACAGCTTCATTGGGATAATTGCCTCCAGGACAACAGGGATGGTGCTGGTTAACCAGACCCTGTCATTTCTCAGAAAAATTAAAGAGACCTGCAGAGCTAGCTTTGTAAAATCTAGTTTGTCACCTTAAATCCCAGGCTATATTTTATCTTTGCCTGTTTCAAGTTATTTTAGCTCTCATGATCCAGTTTATCTTCCTGACACAACTGGACTCCATCAAATGCTTTATTGTCAAACTCCTGATTACAAATAGCACAATTTCATAAATCTGCATCCTTTACCATAACTCAAAAGAAAATTTAAAGTCTATTCTTTTCACCACTCTAGTGCCATCTTAATATACTTTTTAAGTGTGTTACAATGTTTTAATTATATTTTCAGCTTGGGATAGAGGTTTGGTTGGTGGAAAAAGCAAGTGTGAAATGCAAACTTGAAAGCAGTAAGAAGCTGAGCACTGGAGTCCTGGAGTCAGGGGTTGGGATGCATATGTGTTAAGTGGGAGCTGATCCTTGAGCAGGGAGCAGAGAGAAGTGTCAGCCCAGTTGTTCTGAAAACCAAGGCTGTGCTCAGAAGAGTTTACTCAAAAGAAGCAATTGGCCCAACTCTTAGAGTGAAAAACTACGAGAAAGCAGGATTCTGAAAATTCACCATGCCAAAATGAAAGCTTCCTTCCAGAGCAGTTTCAGAATTAAAATTTGACCTTTGAAGGTAAAGTATTTGTAACAGGAGGAACACTGTTGAAGTAAAGGACTACAGGTAGAACCAAATCTGTGTAGGATGAAAAGAAGACAAACAGAACAGGATGACCTGAAGAAATAGAAATATTTTCTATTTTTTTAATTTTTTAATAAATAAAACTTATTTTCTTTTATTCTAAGTATAAAATATAAATTGTTAAAAATCAAACACAACAATCAAACACATATTCTATGTGTCTACCACTATACTAAGTGACCTTCACTACAAACTCATTAAATCCACATAGCCCACCAGCCTATTACTTTAGCTCATCATCCCCACTTTAAAGATAAAGACCCTCTATGAGATTAGATAACTTGCCCAAGGAGCCAGAGCTAATAAGTGGCAATGCCAGAATTCAGGCCCAGATCATCTGATTCCAGATTTCAGGCTTTTAACTGTTGAAACAACACCATGACTACAGTGTCCTCAAAAGACCCATTTATAAAACTGAGGTCTATCAGTTTTCATCCTTAAAATGGGGTGAAACCTGGAATGTTAATGCTTCCACCATTTTTACTGATTTATTTATGTATGTTTTTATAATACTTTCATTTGCAAAGTAACTACTGATACTATATCAAGAGCATTTGTTTTCTATGAAGCACATCACTAAAATGGAAAAAAAAAAATGTACAGAATGGTAAACAGATAGGGCCAAGCCCAGAGGGAGTGTGAATCCAGGTATGTCTACCACATTACCACATCACGTGCTAAGGATAGGTCAGGGGTTACTTCTTGATTTTCTACAAGGTATCATGAAATGATGGCGTGCAAGAGGGAAGGAGAAAAGGAAGGGAGGGAGGGAGGGAAAACAATATCTTATCAAGTTTAAAATGAGGAGAGTTTGAAATTTTTCTCTACTGCTAAAAGGTGATTATGGGCTGAGCCAAGGAAATGCTGTGTAATATGGTTTGTTGGTTTAATCAGAGAGAGGAAGAGATGGTTTGACAAAAGGCAACTTACAAACATGAATAAAATAAATAAAATAAATAAATAAATAAAAGCACATTTTTTTTTTTTTCAAACTGAAAAGTCCTTAACAACTGGAAAAACAAAAAATATATTGCTAACTTCATGTTTCCAGCAGAGGCTGGGTAAGAACCCTAAAGGACCCTTCCACTGCAGAACAACCAGTGCCTGGAAAGGACTTATTATCTGAGCAGTTGTTGGCCTTGAGTAACAAAAGGTCGCCCTTTGAAAAGGGGAGGAACTTGGTATGGAGGGATAGAGGTCTGGGCCGGGCAGGAGTCACAACAGCTGTCAGAACAGGATGGGGTCCACTCAGGTTGGAGGCCATAAGGAACAATGCTGCATTGACCACAAGAAAGCAGCCTTGGGACCAGCTCCAGGAAAGGAAGGACATTGTAACACACTGAGTCCAGACCCTGAAGAGGTCCATGTTGGGGCAATGCCTACCTACCAGCAGGAGTCAAAACAATTTGTCCCTGTAGGAAAGGTCCTCATGTTCCCTCAGGACTGATTAAGAGTAAGCAATACGCTCACAATCAGAGATCACCAAACACACAGGAAAGCAAGCCAAGATGACAGTCACAAATTACTTATTTAGGGCCTCCCCTGGTGGCGCAGGTGGTTGAGTACAGCGCTGTGAAGCCTCTGCAGCACCGGTTCAATCCCGGCTGGCCGGCGAGAATCCCACATGGCGCGGCAGACCTTTTCACCCGCTGCTCCCCTCAGCAGTGTATTTCGTCAGTCTGCCTGTTTGGTTCCCCAATCTGTCTCTGGTGAATCCTCTCACCCTCCCACGCATCTGGCCTGTACCCTGGTTCTTATATAAATAAATAAATAAATATTTTTTAAAGATTACTTATTTAGGCACAAACTATATATTTGGATTTTTAAGAATGACATTAAATAGACTAATTGCATACAAAATACAAAATCACTGTGTGTATCATTTTAAAAAATAAAAGGAATCATAGTCATAAAGGTCACCAATGAGAGAGTGTTAGGAATAAACAGATAAGTTTGGGGAGAAAACTATGGAACTTTTACTAATAAAACAGAAATTGCTAAAATCAAAAAGCAGATCACCAAGTTAAACAGGTTAAATCGGATACAACTAAAGAAAGAATTACTGAACAGAAGAGAGACATATTTTCACTAAGCTTGATGACACCATCGCATTTAAAATCAAGTTCGAGATTTGAAGAGTATTCCTCAAAGAGACCATGAGTTCTGCTTTATTAGTAACAAAAAAATGTGGGGGAAATTCATCTTCCTTTTCAGGAAAATCTGTCTTTTTTTTTTTTTTCGTAAAAGAACTGGGGTGCGGGCCAGAGGTGCAAGGGGTGAGAAGATTCACTAGAGACAGAGTGGGGAGGAGAACAGGTGGATCAACTGAAATACACTGCTGAGGGGAGCAGCAGGTGAGACAGGAGAAGTCTATAGTGCCATGTGGGTTAGCTCCCTGGCCGGGACTGAACTCAGGCCATGGTGGTGATAGTGATGAGACTTAACCCCTATGCCACCAGGGAGGCCTTCAGCAAAATCTTTTGATAAGTAATTCCCTGAGGACGTTAATTCAAAGGCCCTTTCAATATAGGATAAGACACAGGTACTGTGTCCACAGGTGCCCAGCTCAGCAAGGGACCTGAGACTCACCCAGATCTTGCCTGCAGACAGGAGGCTGCTTAGCAGATGGCAAGGCCTAGGTTCCTTGTGTATTCTGCACTGCTTAGATTGCCTCCTACTTGCATATATTATCTATCCATAAAAATGAATTTTCAAGTTTTGGGAAGATTTTTAAAAAGACACAAACTACATGGTTTTTCAACAGGAAGATACACTGAAGGAAATTTTTAAGAAAAGCCAGTTTCTTGGTCAAAACATTGGCCAACAAATCTCCCCAGAAATTTCCCAAATATAGTAGGCCCAATAGTATAGAAAATGGTTGTCATTTATATATATTTATGTGAGGTGGGGATCTTGGAAAACTTGGGACAGTGTGACAAAGACAATAACCATAGTACTTACTTGATACATCAGCTGACTTCAAGACTTACTTCCACAAATCAATAGGCAACATTAACTTTGAAGTAGAATGTGCAACAGTATCGAAAGTGTTTTTGTGCCTCCTTGGTAGGGGTTAAATCTCAGATTATCACCACCACAGCCCTCCACAGCTGCCAGGGAGCTAACCCCATGGCACAGCAGACCTTTCCTGTCTCGCCTGCTGCTCCCCTCAGTAGATCCACCTGTTTTGCTCCCCACTCTGTCTCTGGTGAGTCCTCTCACCCCCCACACCTCTGCCCTACACCCCAGTTCCTGGATGCATAAATAAATAAAAGCAAATCTTTTAGAATAAAAGGGGGGAGGGAGATAGAGATACTGATTAGCTCTAGGTCTTATTAAATAAATTTTAAAAATAAAATAATTTTTTCTAATAGTTTACTTTTTAAATTTATTTATTGACTTATTTTCTTATATTGTGGATCAACTTCCTATAGTTCTTCTTCCCCTTAGGTGTGGCCCTCCCACCCACAACCCACCTGCGTACCCTCTCTCTCCCCTGCATCTTCTTCCCCTACTCTGATCACTCCCACTCCTCCCCTTGCTGCAAGACTTAGGTCCTTGGTCTGCCCACACACCTTGCCTTTTTTCTGGAAACTTGTCCTTTATCTGGGCAAGCACCTGGGCTCCTTTCCTGCAGCAGACCAGGCTGTTTAATTATGTGTGTAACAATTTAAATGTAGCCACTAGAAGTGTAAAATTTGAATAGAAAAAAAGTTGAGTAAAGAAACTTGATTAATCTAGACCTCTCTGGTGGCACAGAGGTTATAAGTCTCAGCACTATCAAGCTATTGGCAGTCATTGCAACATGAGTCTGATCCCTGGCCAGGGAGCTAACCCACATGGCGCAGCAGACCTCTCCTGTCTCACCCGCTGCTCACCTCAGCAGTATATTTCAGTCAATCCGCCTGTTCTGCTCCCCACTCCGTCTCTGGAGAATCCTCTCACCCCCACATCTAGGGCCTACATCCCAGTTATTCTACACAAAAATTAATAAATAAATTTTTTTTAAAGAAATGGTTTTTTCCTTACTCCCAGTCTTTCAGGGTTTATTCCGCCTCGCTCCACCCTACTGCTGCAGAACTACATGCCAGAGAAGGTTGGAGCAGCATAGATTTTGACTTGTGAAGGGATACCACAGACCAAAACTTGTACTTATTTATCTATGGTTTCTTACCCCAAAAAACAGGAAAGAAGAAACTGAATGATAAATACAACATTCTTCCATTGGTTGAATTCAGTAGCCTATTATCAAAAAAGCAAGAAAATGAATGGTTAAATTAATAATACTGCAGTTTAAATCTAGTGATATTACCAACTAATGATCTTGGCAAAATGTGTTTCAGTATAACAGCCACTTTTCCAAACAGAAAACATGATTTAATAAATCCTAAGTGATGGCAGTCAGATAACACTGGGCAAATTTTATTTCCTCCCTGAACCTCAGGTTCATTTTACAAAATGGGCATTATTTGTTTTAACTTCCTCAAATGGCCAAGCTGAGGTTTTAATGACATTGTTTTTAGAATTTTGCAGGTGGCAAGAACAAACTTAATGCTGTTACTGTTACTAAATCTCTACTAATTTATAGTCACAAAATCAGAGTTGGATTTTTATAAATAATCTTAGATTATTAATTTTTATTAACTATATAATAAAAATTAATAATATTGACAAGACTAAGTTCATAAATATTTTCAAGAATTTGCAAATGCTTAGGATATATCATGAACTATTATTTGCTATTCACAAAGAAATCATGTGATTAGAGTAGGTGAGTAGACCGAGAAGTTTTAGACAGTCTGCTCATAATACCCAGCTGAGAAAATTAAATTAACCCTTTTTAAATGACAGGTAGCGATTAAAAGGAATATTCAATGCATGATTTTCTCCTTGCCTACATCCAAAACTAAGCTTGAGGTAACTCAAAACTATACAAATGTTGACTGTGTATATGTGATTAAATACAAATTCTATTCATTTTCTATTAAGCAATATTTTGTTAGTTAAGTTTCCTAACTTTCTATATTTAAAACCATTTAAATCATTTTTAGTTTATCATTCAACACTTTTAAACCAATTAGACTGCAATTTCTCCCCCAATGAATAAAACCTCATCATACTCTATCTACTGTCACAGTTTCACAAGGAATACTCAGCCCATTTCCCTTTTGTAACTTTGTTTAATTAAGATATAATTTGCATAGAACAATATGTTAGGTTCAGGTGCACAACATAATGATGTGATCTATGTATGTGTTACAAAAAGATTACAAGTCTAGGTGATACCCATGACCAATATTTTTCTTGTGATGAGAACTTTTAAGATTTATTCTTTTACAGATGACTGGATCAAGAAGGTGTGGTATATATACATAATGGAATACTATGCAGCAATTCAAAAAGATAGGCTCCTGCTATTTGCAGCAACATGGGTGGAGCTGGAGGGGATTATGCTTAGTGAAATAAATCATAAGGAAAAAGAAAAACATCAGATGGTTTCACTTATAGGAGGAATATGGGGACCCAAATAAGGGTGGGGGCAAAACTAGCAGGAAACTATAAATCAGAGACATTCAGCAGGGGAGGGGGAGTGGTGAGATTAAAACAGGAGTGGGAAGAGCACAAGAGACTATGGTGATGGTTCATAGGTGACTTGGTGGGAATTTTATGGGGACTACACCTGAAATGAGAAAGCAAGCTGTACAAAAAGGAACAATGATATAAAACATAGAGAGAGAAATAGAAAAATTTTTAAATAAAACAGATCCCCCCATTAAGGACAAGAATAAGAATAAAAAAGATTTATTCTTTCAGCAACTTGCAAATACATAACACAGTATTACCACATAGACAGCATGCTACACATCACACCCCTCACCTCTCTTATCAAAAAGACATATATTACTTAATGTGTATCTGAATGTGTACATTATTTCCTAGTTTTAAACCAGTTGGTTTTAAACCAGCCAGTGTCTGGATATAATGTATACATTATTGAATGTCAATGATTGCCAAAGCTGGCTGATGGGTCTATGGGTATACTATTTTCCCTCATTCTGCAAAGGTTTGAAAGTTTCCATCATAAAACTTTTTTTAATGCTTACTTGTGAAAAAAAAACATAATAAATATAAATCTGTCTAACTGGCAAGTCTCAAGACCATCGGCAGTACAGAAAGCATCCAAGAAAGTTTATAGAAGGCATGAAAAACACAAAACCAAATAAATACTGGGGAAAAGTCTCAGTGTCTGATATTAGAATTAAGAATAAAAGAAAACCACCCCAAACATCAAAGCAAATGAAGAAAACATTTATTTACTCAGGAAGCTGAAAATATTTATGCAACCAGCAAGTAAAATCTATATATCCCCAGTAGCATATAAATCTCCAACGGCTATTTTGTAATTTTCATGAAAACATTTGGTTTCTTTGCCAACCAAAATTTTGAGAGAGTTTAGTTTTATCTTGTTCTTTTAATAATGATAAGACTATACTGGTAGCATAATTTACTCTAAGAGAAAAGAAAGACAAATAACAATAAAGTAATTCTTCCTTCAGGCTTTTTATTTCTGTCATAGTCTGAGTCTGAATCTTCTTCATCATGCATTTATGGCTTTTTTTCAGTTGAAAATAAGGTCCTGTTATTTATTAACTGTAATACTTGAATGTAATTTGAAGCTATTAGAGTGATACCTGATTAGTATTTTCCAGGGCCTAATTTATTAACCAGAAGAGCTGGCATTGCCCACTTTGTTCGCAAAGATAAAAAGATCTACTAACAAGGGAAGGCCAAGGTCCAGGAGTGAAACCCAGAGCTGTGAACAACACTCACCTAGTCTGCCCACAATCTCTGGCCCTCTCCAGTCAGCCGGGAAAGCACTCCTTCCATTAACAAGGGAAGGTAACATATTACTCTAGAATTCATCAATCAGCTTGTGGTACCATTAAACCAAACTAGGCCAAAAAAAATGTAATTTTGTATTGTAGACCACTGCCACACCTAATTATACAAATTTGCTTCCTTATTATATTTGATTCTCAATCCAAAATGTTTAAAAGTAACCAACTGGAAGAAGTTTGCCCTAAGTCAAAGAACACTGAGATCAATGTTAGTAGTGAAAAAAAAATCTCATTTGTTCCTAAAGGATGCTTTTATTATTGATTATAGTAAGTGTTCCATGTCTTTTTGTATTTATTAGAAAATACTTTTAAATTAAAATATATTCAATTTTTAACTTTCTAAGTTTTATATTTTGCCATTTCATAAAATGACTTTTCTTACAGTTATATATACAGCTGTATAGGTAGCATTAGCAAAAAACAATATGAACAGTTGTTGCTGACACTAGATTGGTTTAAAATCAATTTTGGGGCCACCCCAGTGGCACAGCGGTTGAGCACTGGGTTGCAAAGCTGCCCACAGCCTCTGCAGTGCCGGTTCGATCCCTGGCCACCAGGTGAGGGTCCCACATGGTGCACAGACCTCTTCTGCCGCCTGCTGCTCCCCTCAGCAGTGTACTTTGTCAGTCTGCCTGCTCTGCTCTATGCTCTGACTCTGGTGAACTCTCTCATCCTCCCGCTCTTCTGACTGTACCCAGTGCTTGTATAAATAAATAAATAAATAAATCTTTTTTAAAAATGAAAATAAATAAATAAAATCAATTTGGTGGTAGCTGAAATATTTTTCTAATTGTAATTTTTCTTATAGACTTTTACATAAATCTATATGTTTAATTCTGATGCATCATAAATTTCTCTAAATAGTAATCATAGCTGGGGTTCTAAGGTACCTATGAAACAGTTGCCTGAAATATTAGGAGTCGAATGGAATAAGCTATATAGGGTAAATAATGAGATATTCCAGCACTGCCAACCAAAATAGAAGTATAGTATTCTTCTAGAATACCAGGATTTAATAAATTAAAGTATATTATAGGCCTCATAGTCTCTGAGGTAAGTGAGAGGTTATGGTTTTCCCTCTGTGAAGGAACAAGCAAACATATTTCATATATGAATAAAATCATAGAGATTACTGCAAAGGATGTTTCCCAGAGCCAGAACCCCTGGACCTATTACCTCCTTCTTCAGGTAATTACTTAAACAAGGTGCCCTAGATTCCTTTCATAAAGAGTAGTTAAAAACAGTACCTTCTTGTCTGAGCATTGTTCACATACAATGCTTATTAGAGGGTGATGTCTGACAGAATCAGCCTTTACTTATAACAGATGTATAAGCTATAATTGTTATTATTAGATGAGAAAGTATAATAATTGTGTGGTCAATATTATAGATAGGTGATAACTTACGAAAGCACCAAGCTACAAGCTTATAAATCAATGATTTGGATGTGGGGACACATATTCCTATTGAAACAATGTTATGAATTATTTTTTAAAGATTTATTTATTTATACAAGAACTGGGGTATAGGCCAGATGTGCAGGAGAGTGAGAGGATTCAGCAGAGATAAAGTGGAGAACAGAACAGCCAGACTGATGAAATACACTGCTGAGTGGAGCAGCAGGCGAGACAGGAGAGGCCTGCCACGCTTTGTGGGACCCTCAGTGGCCAGCCAGGATCAAACAGGCGCTGCAGAGGCTGTGGACAGCTTCACAGAACTGCGCTCAACCGCCTGCGCCACCAGAAAAGGCCCAATGTTATAAATTATTGGCATGATACTTCTATCTAACTATAAGGTACCTACAATTCAGTTTCTTGTCACTTTGCATTCATAACTCAGTTCCTATAGAGAATATGCCTTTAGTTTCAATCAGGTGTCCTGAGCGTCTCTGGAAGTTTCTAGACCTCTATTTCTAGAAATATAAATATGATTGAAACAGCTAGAAAATACCAGAATTTCAGAACAGATAAACTCCACTAACTTCAAAAGGAAAATGCCGTTCTATGATAATGATATGAGAATGGCCACAGGGCAATTTCACTGAGACTTCATAATTTCACTTATGTATATATAATGTTGTTGATACTAAATTGATGGTAGCTGAAAAATAAATACTATTTGCTGAGATGCCCTGCTTATTATTACTAGAGAGGCATGGGAGGTTGCCTATTGTCCAAAACTGAATTAACAGGACACACAAAGAGAGCTCTGGTGTTTCTTGGTGGGCTTTGATATAAACACATGGAAATGGCTTCTGATCCCCGGGGATGTCGCTGTTATACCCTTTTGATGTTTCCTTATTCTTAGAAAATGAGAAAGTATAGTTTTGAGAAAGAACAACAAACCCTGACATCCACTTCATCAGCCCACCAGACCTGTAGTATCCCTAAAGTCATTCAAAGCTCTGAGAAGCTACAGATGAGATAGACTCTCAACCTGTGAATATCACTCTCCTTGCTGATTATTAAATACAGAAATGCTGTCCTATGGTGGGTATGGCTCTGTACTGGCCTCTCTGAAGCCCCACCCCCATCCAGCAATGAGGTTAGCCCCCAGACAGGTAGAGCTTAATTCTGTAGGCAGAGGCTACCCTGGACCTGGATTTTGCTTAGTACACCTAGTATTTCACATGAACTTCAATACCCCCCCTTAAGATACAGGCAAATTTCTTACAAGTGGTATGGCTCACAACTTCTGATGAAGCAAGGCTAGGCAGGAGTCTCACACTTCAAAGTGACCATTGTGATGCTGTGAGCCTGGACATTCATCCTTCCCAAGAGACATGGCCTTCTCTCTTTCTAGTTGGACCTTGTTTCTTTCTGCTAATTTACCCTTTTATTTGTCTCTCATGAGTATGCAGTAGATAGGGTATGCAGGACAACTACCAAAAGAACAATGCCTTCTCAAAATTCAAGTGTAGATCCTGAAATATTTAGAGGCAAGGCAATGATGTCTTTAAAATACACTAGGAAAGGAGGGAGTTCAAGATGGTAGTATAGAAAGAGCCAAGGTTCACCTCTTTCCATGGATACAGTAAATATACAGTCATTTACGAAACAATTCTTCCCAAAAAATATCTGAAAATGAACTTGACAACTGACAACTTGACAACTGACAACTGACAACTCCTCCATGAGGGACAAAAGGATTGCAGTGAAATGGGCAGGAAAGGCAGAGACACTGTCTCACAAAGGAACACCCCCAACACAAAGGCCCACAATTGGGAGGGAGCTCACAAATATGGAACTTCTTCCTGGGAAATCAGGCATCCCGACCCTTGGGATCTGCACAGGGGAGACTGGTTCCCCCAGAGGGCTTGCAATCAGGAAACCCAAGAGGACCAAAGTTTGCTCTTAAGAGGCAAGCTTGCAAATTCATACCTAGGACCTACGAAAACCTACAACTTGAAAAGCACCTAAAGCATACATGAAAGAGATTCATTAGTTATTCTCAATCTCCCAGGAGACAGGGATGAAGGTACAGGTAGGCACTTTTGTGCTTATACTCTCCTTATTACAGTTAAAGCTGGAGGGCATCATTTTAGTGCTTCCCTACCTTGCCCCTGCCCTACAACACTGTACTGTCCAGAAGATGATTCATTATTCTCAAAACAACCAATGTGCTATATAATATTAAGCATAGAAATCACAAGATCCTTTCAATAGAGGCAGAAAAAGCATTTGACAAGATGCCTACCCACTCTTGCCACTTTTAAACAACCTAGCACTGAAAGCCCTAGTCAGAGCAATTAGACAAGAAAAAGAAAGAAATGGTATCCTACTGGAAAAGAAGAAGTGAAACTGTCACTCTTTGTGGATGACATGATTTTATAGTTAAAAAAGAAAACCTAGAAATTCCATCCCAAAACCATTAGAACTAACAAACAAATTTAGCAAAGTTGCAGGATACAAAATCAATATAAAAAAATGTGCTGCATTTCTATACCAACAACAAACTATCAGAAAGAAAAATTATAAAAAAAAAGTCCATCGAGAATCACATTAAGAAGAATAAAATAGGGATAAATTTCTTAAATAGGCTAGTAGAAGAGCTGTACGATGAAAACTATAAGACATTGATGTAAGAAATTAAAGAACACAAAGAAATGTAAGGATATTCCCTGTTCATGGTTTGGAAGAAATAATACTGTTAAATTGTCCATAATACCCAGGACACTCTATACATCCAATGCAATCCACATTGAAATTCTAATGACATTTTTCATAGAATTACAACAAACAATACTAAAATTTCATGAAACCACAAAATATCCCAAATAGCAAAAACAATCTTGAGAAAAAGGAACAAACGTAGAAGCTTGTACTCCCTGGTTTTAAACTATGTTATAAAGTCATAGTAATTAAAACAGTATATTAGCATAAAAACAGAGATACATATATATCAATAAACCCATGCAATATGGTCAGTTGATTTATGACAAAGAAGGCAAGAAAATTCATGGGGTAAGACAGTTTCTTCAATAAGTGGTATTGTAGATATTGGACAGTTATGTGCAAAAGAATGAATATGAAACACTATTTTCGCCATTCACAAAAGTTAACTCAAAATAGATTAAGGATCTGAATATAAGACCTGAACCTATCCAATTCCCAGAAGAAAACATAGGTATTACTATTCAGCAATCAAAAAAGATAAACTAATACCATTCTCAAGAATGTGGATGGAGCTAGAAGGAACTATGCTGAAATAAGTCAGCGCTATCCATGTTGCTGTAAATGCACATGGCAATTGTTTATCTTTTTTTCCAAAGATTTATGATTTATGCATACAAGAACTGGGTTACAGGCCAGAAGTATGGGGCCAGTGAGAGGATTCACAAGAGACAGAGCGGGGAACAGAAGAGGCGGATTGACTGAAGTACACTGCTGAGGGGAGAAGCAGGCGAGTCAGGAGAGGTCTGCTGCGCCATGAGGGTATCTCCCTGGCCGGGGATCAAACTCATGATGCAGTGGCTGTGGACAGCTTCATAGGTTGTGTCTTAACCCCCTGCGCCACCAGGGAGGCCGTAGAGTTTATCTTTTTGATTGCTGAATAGTATTCCATTGTGTATACGTACCACAACTTCTTGATCTACTCATCTATTTTTGAGAATTTGGGTTGTTTCCAGGTTTCATCTATTATAAATAGTGCCACCATAAACACAGGAGTACAGGTATTCTTTTGAATCACTGTTTTTGTGTTCTTTGGGTAGATCCCTAGGAGTGGAATTGCTTGGTCATGTGATAGCTCTATTTTCAGTAGACTGAGGAACCTCCAGACAGCTTTCCATAGTAGTTAGGCCAGAATGCACCAAACTGACAGCAGTCATTATAAAAGCAGTCAAGGAGTAAAGTACAACAGTAAAGTACAACATGGGGACTATATTCAATAATATGGTATCACAAATTTTGAAGTTGCTAAGATGGTAAATAGACATTATGGTGATCATTTCACACAATATACAAATGTTGACTCATTTTGTTGTACACCTGAATTGAAAATAATGGTGTATGTTATTTATACTTTAATTTTAAAAGGTACTCCAGGGTGAAAAAATGAGAGCAGATAATAATAGATGAAATAAGCATTGCAAAATTCCAAAAAGTGTTGAGGCTGAGTAATGGGTATATGTTAATTCTTTAAATTATTCTCTCTACTTTGTGTATATTTTAAAATGTTCATAATTAAGGTAGTAAATAGATACATTCTTTAAAACTATCGAAATCATCTTGTAAGTTGATTAGCCTCCCCAAGATTCCTATATCAGCAAAAGAGGCAAGTAAGGCCTAAATTCAGATTTTTATTGTTGTTGTTTTTGTTTGTTACTATTGGTTTTAATTGTTACTATTGTTTTTAAAAAGCTTCAAGAGCAGATTTCTTGTGACTACTTCTTGCCCCCCACACACACACATTACACATTACACACCCCCCACCACCATTACACTAAGATAAATGTCACTGAACAAGTCAGAGATATAGCTGGGGTCTTCATACACCTTACATATACCTTTCCTGCTATCTTTACACTTTGTGTTTCAGAAAGCAGCAAAGGTTCAATATTAACATTTTTTTTAAAGGCTGCTAAGAATATAAAGGCCCTCACCAGCTCACCTGTTGGAAGTCTCCAGTAGAGACACTAATGATAAGCATGGGGATGATCATGAAGCAGGCATTGTAGAAAAGCACTCCATACTTCCCTAGCTCCTGCAAAGAGAAAGAAAACCCCATTTAATTTTAGCAATAAGAAGCATCAGATTTTTCTAGAGCCATTCCTAAAACTACATATTTAAGCAGAGTTAAAATATGCTTTCTGACCAACCATATATTGGTATATTTACAGCAAATTTCTGACACAAATGCTTCATTTCAATATTCTGTGATTTCAGAATAAATTTTTGTTTTACACAAACATGAAAGATAAAATAGATGGAGATGGGTTGCCTGTGAGATTCCATTCATCTCTAACATTCTAGTTGGTTTTTATTTTAAGGCATGCTATTCAAATGGGAAATCTGGAACAGAATAAAGAACATTAAAAATGTTAATATAAACAGGACTTCTTAAGAACATCTGCTCTTTCTATTAAAAAGCAGCAGGGTTAAAACATCAGGTATCCCATTTTTCCAACCCTGTATAAATTTACTTTACATGCAAGTGGTTACGCCACTTCTTTACCATTTTTCCATAAAGGGTGACAGTGTGACTCTCAGAAGGCAACCAACCTGTTTTTGTAACTGCTACCAGGAAAAAACAAATGGCCATACAGAAAAGCCAACAATGCAGATGAAAAGCAGTGCATAGAAATAAGCCTGTCTGTCAGAGAGAACTCCCTCACACAACACAAAGAACCAGGAACAAAGAAACATATGCCTGGCTCATCCTCCTGCTTGGGGAACAGCTGGGGTGGGATGAGGGCTGGGGCCTCCACACCGATGCAGCCACTTGGAAGAAAAGCTCATTGTCCCACCAGCCCTTTAAGATCAGGAGAGACCAAGACTGCTGGGCTGACCTTACAATTACCCATTCCAATCATCTCATTCCCCAGATGAGAATACTGAGGTTTGGAGAAGATGAGATTCAAAGTCACAATGTCCAGTAAGCAGCAAACTTTAATTTTTTTTCCCCAAAGATTTATTTATTTATACAAGCACTGGGTACAGTCAGAAGCACGGGAGGGTGAGAGAATTCACCAGAGCCGGAACAGGGAACAGAACAGGCAGAGTGATGAAATACACTGCTGAGGGGAGCAGCAGGCACGGCAGGAGAGGTCTGCGCGCCACGTGGGAACCTCGCCCGGTGGCCAGTGCTGTAGAGGCTGCGGCAACTTCGCAGCCCAGCGCTCAATCACTGCACCACTGGGGAGGCCCAAACTTTGATTTTTAACCCAGGTCTGCACACTGTCAAAACAGCTGCTCTCAAATCCCTGACTTTGCCTTCATCACTGATGATGAATTGGAAAAAAAACTTCTTGTATTTTCAATTTGCCTTTCAAAATCACCCCCTTTTTCTATATTCTGACTTTACATCTAAGATTGTGGCATCTTTTCCCATCCTATCTTTCACCCAAAACACTGCAAGACACAAGTAAGGTAACTGAAAAGACATCAGAAATGCATAGGTCATATTAAGTAAACTAAATTACATGCCAACTTTGCAAATTGGTTTACTTTCTTCGTGTCATTTCAGGGCCCAGATGAAAAAGTCGAGAAGTCAGAGAAGTAAGATCTTGTACCTTTGGGTCCATTTTCTGTTTGGTATAAACGCCATTCGCAGCTGTGAAGATATCATTCAAAAACACAAAAACATAGCCTTCCAAGTTGAAAGCAAGGTCAGAACTAGTAGGGAGAACACAAGAGGATGGTTAGTCAGAAACTCACAACTGAGCCTCCAGGTCAACTGTTTAATCTTTCCCTGATCAAATTCATTTGTGATGCTAGTCTACCTTCTTGTTGACACATTTTCCCCTCTGTGGTAGTAAATGGTTAATTCCTCTGTTTTGGCTCCAGACAAAAACAAAACCAGGCCATCAGGTGGCTTCAATTTCATCACAAATGACTTAAAATCAGAGGGACTTGCTTTCACTACAAAGCCCTTTCTTCTTGCTAACTAATAGTGCAGCATAGTAATTGGCAAGCCTAGCTTTTCTGACGGGAGTGATTTGTCCGATTCACCCAGTGGCTTTGCTTGTTGGACTAAATAGGGCCATCCCTAGGGTACAGCCCTGTAGGGACAGCTGGGCCGTGACTAGGGCAAGAGGGGGTCAAAAGAGGAACTGACACCTCCATCTGGTGTCTAAGGCCCCCACCCCGGCCCCCACTACCTATCCATCAAAAAGGCGGGACAGGGGGCCCATTCCCTTTCTGCAATCCCTCTAAGGCTCCCTTCTACCAGTTCTTCTGAAACCTTCTCCTTAATTTCAGTTTTAAATAAATAATGCTAGTATAAAAATATTAGGTGCGGGGCAGGATATGGCACCAGGAGGAGAGAGAGCAACAGCTGAGCCAGAATGGGATGTGTCCACCTGCACTCGATCTTGCAGACACTACCAAGGATGTATATCCCCTGCCCACTCAGCTTCAGTAACTGGTGGCCTGTGAACTCAACTGACAATAGACAGAGAGCTAAACAGAGGGGAAAGGAATACAAATCATGCTAAATATTTTACACGCACAGGAGTTTATAGAAGTGAAACTCAAAGAAGTGACTAGAGTCTGTGGCTTATACAATATTTTAGCAGAGAAAAGGGTTGTGTTTTGAGGGACAAATTATAGGTAAGGAAGTTGGAAATATCGAGGGGAATCTAATGGAAGGTGAAGTTTGTTCATGGGAGAGGGTGAAAACGGAACATTATGTTCACTAAGGGAAATAAGTGGTCTGTTTCTTGGCAGGAAAGGAAGGGCAGAGACCTCTTTCTGTATTGTTGATGCTCAACTGCCTTCAGCTTAATGCTGGCATAATGCTTACGCCAAAGTGGTAAATTTTAGGGTGCCATATTCTGATCCCCTTTAATGTCAAAATAAGTTTATTTCAAAGAGAAATAAATAGGCAAAAATTGCAACAAAATATGAATGCAAATTAAATCAGACTTTGCTTGAGGCTTCCACTGGCATTGTCTACAAATACATCTGTGAAAATGTAAATTAGTTTTAAATCTTCATAAGGAAGAATGCTCTGGCTCATTCCAAAAAATAAAATCTAAAATTGAGTCTTCCAAATTGCTTGCTGACCCACACTTGACTCAGTGTTCAGAGGTTTGCTGTTCCCTAAAATGACAAAGAGTTGCATGAATGAGGTGGGGCTTTCAGGGGCACAGACTGCAGGAAATTGCCTGCTCACTCCCCAGGAGCCACTAGGGAAATTTCCAGTGTTCTAAGGCCTCCTGCTAGGGAGGGAAGGGATATGGTCCCCATTGGCTTAAGTCAGTAGTTTAAAGTAAAGGTGTTTAAGAAGAATGAACTGGGTTTATAAGTGAGAGCAGATTCATGGTTAACTCTGGTTGTTCACAGACATCCTGTTTCAACTTTTCTTTCCACATGAAAGGAAAAAAAAAATGAGAGGAAGTAACACATGTCACTTCTGGGTAAGAGATTAAATATATCTACAATAGTAAACAATAATATTATTGCCATATATATGTCACACTCTGGCATGCTGTATTTTCTAATCTAGCTTGTGCTTATTGTTTGTCTTCACCAGCTATAATGGAAGCTACATGAAGGCAAGGATTCTAGTCTGTTTTGTTACCTGCTGGATTCCTCAGCATCAGGAACAATGCCTAACATACAGTAAATACTCAGCATGTGTCAGTTGAACTTGGCTGTGCATTTTTGGAAACCTTGGTTTATTTATTGGTAACCTCACTTCATTCTCACAATGCGCCACTAGGGGGATGCTAGTCTAATCTCCATTTTGCAGCTGAAATAACGGGAGCCCAAGGCAATTAGCTTACAGAGCTAATAGATTAGGAGAGTGGGATAAAGTTCCAAATATTCAGGCTCTACAGTCCATACCCTTATTTATTTTAATTGAAACAGAACTCACACTTCTGAGTTAAGGGAACTAAACAGTTTAAATGAAATTATTCCAATCTTTTCTTTCCTTCACTCATCCAAGTAAGTATTCTTTTCTATTATTATGTTTGCTTTATAAGTGAGGGATTGAGGCATAGAGAGGCTAAGAAAAAGCTGACAAGGGGCATAGCTAAATTTTGAACCCAGGGAATATAATTGTAGACACATGATTTAATCACCATGCTATAAAAGATTAGAGTCTGAGTGCTCACTTTCAAATACAAACTTCAAGTCCTCATTCCTAGTCTTAGATATTAATGAATAAGATAGTCATACACTGGTATTGCAGGTATGTCCCAAACATATGAACATTTAATGAGAATATTCTAACCTGGAAAATACTGACTCCTATAGCATCACGTATGGTAAAACAAGTCAGTGTACGTGGGCTTTATAAATTTGTTATTCTTTTTGATGAAATGCCTAAGAAATTTTCAAGCAAAAATTTTATATTAAAGACAGGCATTCAGTAATATAAGTAAACACTTTTTTTGTAAATGCTTTACTTCTTTAATTATTTTTTATTTTATTTAGTTTTTTTATTTTATATATTTTTTACATCATTTTTGCACAATGTGTACATTTTCATCTTGGTTATAGTCCCCATACAATTCCCTATTCCTTTTTATAAGTAAGGTTGTATTTGTATCTTGCTATGCTCTCTTCATTTATTCTAAGAATCATTCTGACTAACTTGAAATCCGGTTTGGCTTTCACAGAACACATGGAAATTCCACTAACGTCAACATAATTGTGTCCTGGCTGCTCAATTCAACTGCAGCCAGATGGAAAATGAAAAATTAAGATGGGGCCAGGCCTATTGTCAAGGACACAAAGAAGTTATTCAGCAGAAACAGTCCAACATCTTACCCAGCTGCGATGAAAGCACCAAGAATTATAGCAAACACACTGACAATGATGTTCAAGGAATACTGTTTCCTGTAATAAATAAATAAATAATAAATAGATAGAAAAATAAATAATAGATAAATGAAATGAAATGCCAGCTAGCTAGCTACCTACAAGATAGATAGATAGATAGATAGATAGATAGATAGATAGATAGATAGATAGATAGATAGATAAAGATAGATAGATAAAGGTTGACGCAGAGAGAGCACTAAAATCATCTTTAATGAACTAGTGATTCAGAACAAATTTACTTTTTTCCTTAAGCAGTTGTCCTTATCTAATTATGAGCTTGTTTTTGTTCTTACTACAGAAACACTGGGACAAAATATAGAAGTGCTCCTGCTGGTGGATCTAGTTGGCAGGTGCTTATACCAAGCAACCAGAGATTAAGATACAATTCAACAATAGGACTTCAAGCACTGAGCCATCATCCAAATTCCATTGCTAAATAATCTTCATAGAAAAATTAAGAATTTTAAGCCAACATTATATAACTTAGTTTATTCTAATATATCATAACTACTGCATCAGAATGGATTTCTCTGATTTTCTGCACTTCTCTATGTGGATAATATCTCCCGTGTACTCCATGATGTGTGTATATTCCATTTGACTCCAGGAAACAGATTTATATCTGATTGGGGATTGTTAGATTTTTAATAATTTTCTATGACAATCATGTATCATTTGTCTAATGTAAAATTATTACTAAAAATTATTCATTAAGTTCTTAAGGAATCATGGAAACAGACAACTATTTTTAAGTGAATAAACCATCTGTCCTTAAATTACTGCTATGAGCAATTCAAAGAAATGATTTGGAAAGATGACTAGATGTTGAGAATTTGCTAGGTAAAAGCAAAGTGGAGGAAAAGGAGAGAGGATACCATACGATTAGAGGGGAAAAAATCACCCGAGTATGATGGTTTCCAGGAGTAAAGTAAGTGGAATGGTAAATTTCCTGAGCACTGTGAACATCGGCAAGCTGTCAGGAAAAGATTCAAGTAAGTAACATCAGATACTAAGAATTTTAACATGTTTTTACATTTTTAGTTAAACCCACTAAGTTTGCAGATCAAATATAAGGAATTAGATTAATTCCCATTTGTTTATGGTTAAACAAATCACATTAATAAAAAGAAATGGACATTTAATAATTTCATCCCACTTTAACTTTTTAGCTATATAAAACATCATACAATCCACCTTTTAGAAGACAGTGCTAAATGTACAATAGACTGTATACAATGTGCCCCAGACAGCCTCTGGCACATTAAGGAGGGACTAGGTATACGCAACCACAATTGGCCCTATTCCTGATCCTAATGACTACTTATTTTAAACCTTATTCTAAGGTAATAATCCAAAAGATATAAAAAGCACAAACAAGTTCACTGAAGTAGCACATTTGGGAAAAACAACCTAAAGGTCAGACAAGGGAATGATTAAATAAATTATGATAAATCCACATGAAGGAACATTATACATATAACTCACACAAAACTTTATCATCATTGGAATATGAATATTAAATAAATCAAGGAGGATACAAAACTATGCAGTCTATAACTGTAACAATATGCATTCTGTACAGAGAAAAAGACTAAAAATGAGTATTTAAAATAGTTTGTTAGAGGTCAAAATAAGGAGTGGTTTTTCCCCAAAATTTTATGTAATGAGATTACATTTAATGCCTTGTAAGATACTTAACGCTTTCCTTTCTTGCCAGATGGCAGGTGAAAAAGCTGAGAAGGTGGCTACTAAGAAGAAATCTGAGCCAAGCAGGCTGATATTCGTGGCAAGGCTGAGTAGGCCAAGGCCAAAATCCTTATGAAGGAGAAGACCGCTGCAGCCAAAATCCAGTCCTAGTCAGAGCAAACAGCAAATATCCCCCATCAGAAAGACCATGTGCAAGAGGAAGTAAGTACTCAGCAGCTAAATCCAGGATTGAAAAGAAAAAGAAGGTTCTTGCAATTGTCACAAAACCAGTGGGTGGTGACAAGAATGGCAGTACCTGAGAGGCTAACCTTCGCAAATGCCTAACTGTATCACCTTGAAGATGGGCCTCAAAAGGTGTTGAGCCACGGCTAAACACTTCAGTCAGCAGGAAAGATACCCGCGAGCTGCCTCGCTGCTCGGACCATGCTGCTCACCCTCACCAGGTGCCACAGAGGCAGGAGGGTGGTTTTCCTGAAGCAGCTGAGGCTTCTTACTTGAGACTGGACCCCTGTCCTTCAATTAAGTTTCTCTGTGTAAAATACACCAGAAATCTGTCATCGCTACTTCTACCAAAATTGATGTTGGTAGGGTACAAATCCCAAAACATCTCACTGATGCTGACTTCAAGAAGCTGTGTAAACCCCAACACCAGGAAGGTGAGAGCTTCAATACAGAGGAGAAACATGAGATTACAGAGCAGCGCAAGGGTGACCAGAAAGCTATGGACCGACAAAGTCTGCTAAAAAGAGCATATATCTCCTCTATAATCTGTTTCCATTTCCTTTGGATAGATACTCAGTAGTGGAACTAACTGTTGGATCAAACATGGCTCTACTTTTAATTTTTTGAGGAACCTCCATATTGTTCTTCATAGTAGCTGAACCAGTTTAAAATTCCACAAACACATAAGTGGTCCCTTTTCTTAATATCTTCAGCAATACTTGTTGTCACCTTTTTTGATGGTAAGTATTCTTACAGGTGACAGGTGATACCTCATCATGATTTTGATTCACATTTCCTTGATTAGGGATTTCATGAGGGGAATTTCACCTTACATCTACCTGTTAGACAACTGGATGACTTCTTCAGAAAAATGTCTATTTAGTGCCTCTGTTCATTTTTAAATTGTTTGGTGGACTTGGTCAAATTCTAAAGCTTTTATAAATGAACAGGCAAAATATGATATATACATACAACAGAACATATATTTATTTTATTTTTTTAAAGATTTATTTATTTATGCATACAACTTGCTGGGGTACAGGCCAGAGATGGGAGGGGGGGTGAAAGGATTCACCAGAGACACAGTGGGGAACAAAACAGGAAGACTGACTGAAATACACTGTTGAGGGGAGCAGCAGGTGAGACAGGAGAGGTCTGCTGTGCCATGTGGGTTGCTCCCTGGCTGGCCGGGGGCTGAACTCGTGCTGCAGAGGCTTTGGATTGCTTCATAGTGTGGTGCTTAAGCCCTTGCGCCACCAGGGAGGCCCAACAGAACATTATTTAGTCTTAGAAAGGAATGGAATTCTGATAACATGCTACAACATAGATGAACCTTTAAAACATTATGACAATTAAAATAAGTCAAGGTAGGGACCTCCCCAGTGGTGCAAGGTGTTAAGACGCAAGCACTATGAAGCTATCCACAACCACTGCAGCACCAGTTCAATCCCCAGCCAGGGAGGTGACCCACATGGTGCAGAAGACCTCTCTCCTGTCTCACCCACTGCTCCTCTCAGCAGTGTATTTCAGTTAATCCACCTATTCTGTTCCCTACTCTGCCTCTGGTGAGTCCACTCACCCACTCCTACACTTCTGGCCTATATCCCAGTTCTTGTATGCAGAAATAAATAAATCTTTAAAAAAAAATAAAATAAGTCAATATAAAAGGACAGATATTGTGAGATTCCACTTGTATGAAATATCTAGAGTGTACAAATTTGTAGAGACAGAAAGTAAAACAGAGGTTACCAGGGGCTTGGAACAAAGGGGAATAGGAATAATTGCTATTTAATGGGTACAGAATTTCTCTTTGGTATGATGAAAATGTTCTGGAAATAGGTAACTAAGAATTGTTCAACATTATGAAAATATTTAATGCCACTTAACAGTACACTTAAAAATGACTAAAATAGCAAATTTCATGATATGTATATTTTAGCACAATTTTAAAATATTTAAAATGGTTAAGCTGATAAATTTTATGTTATGCACATTTTCCCTTAATTAATTCATGTGTTAATTTTTTTTTAATTTTTGTGCTTTAGGGTCTCCCCCATGGCACAGCAGTTGAGCGCTGGGCTGTGAAGCTGTCTGCAGCCTCTGTAGCACTGGTTTGATCCCCAGCTGCTGGCGAGGGTCCCACATGGCGCACAGACCTCTCCCACCACGCCTGCTGCTCCCCTCAGCAGTGTGTTTCGTCAGTCTGCCTGTTCTGTTCCCCGCTCTGGTGAATTCTCTCACCCTCCCATGCTTCTGATTGTACCCAGTGCTTGTATAAATAAATAAATAAATCTTTAAAAAAAAAATGTGCTTTAAAATACAACGTAAAGTAAAAAGACAACCAACAGAATGGGAGAAAATTTTGCAATCACGTGTAATAAGGGAATAGAATATTTAAAGAAAACTTGTAATTCAATAAAAAGATAAATAACTTAAAAATAGGCAAAATACTTGAATAGGTATTTCTCACAAGATATATAAATAGCCAATAAGTACATGAAAAAATACTTAACATCATTGGACAAAGGAAATGTAATTAAAACCATTATGAGATACCACTTCACAACTACTAGAATAGATCAAGTCAAACAGACAGACAAAAACAAATTTGACAAGAATGCAGAGAAATCTAACCATTATGTTACTCCTGGAATGTAAATTGGTGCAGCCAATGCGGAAAAGAGTTTGGCGGTTCCTTAACATGTTAGACAGAGAATGGCCAGACCACCTAACAGTTTTAATTACAGACCCAATCAGTGGCAATCTCATTCTTCCACTTCATTAGGCCAAAACCACAAAGTCATCTCTGTCCCCTTTCTTTCTTTCACACTTTATATGATAGTCATCAATATAATGATCCTTCTTTTAAAATATGTACAGCACCCAAAGTGTGGCCTCAACATATTCTTTTTTTTTTTTTTTTTAAGATTTATTTATTTATACAAGCACTGGGTACAGTCAGAAGCGCGGGAGGGTGAGAGAATTCACCAGAATGAGAGTGGAAAAAAGAACAGGCAGAATGACAAAATACACTGCTGAGGGGAGCAGCGGGCGGCAGGAGAGGTCTGCGCGCCATGTGGGACCCTGCTCCGGTGGCCAGGGAGCTGCCGGGGATCGAACTGGCGCTACAGAGGCTGCGGGCAGCTTCGCAACCCAGTGCTCAACGGCTGCGCCACCGGGGAGGCCCTCAACATATTCTTTAACATTAAAAATAACTAAGGGATTCTTGGAGAAATTGCAAGAAAAGTGGGGCCCTAGAACATGGAAACCAATACAAAGAGCCTCTTGTAGCTTGAAATGGGACAATTTAAGCATCAAAAATTACTGGGTTGTCAGAAAAGTCATGACGCATTTTTTCTATGTTCTTCAAACAAAAAGTGTCATGACCTTTCCAACAACCCAATATTTATAGAATGAATTAAAACATCAAGTAAACCAAAGAAGTAGATGAGTGGAAAAGAAGAGTCCAGAAATAAACCCACACAAATATAGTCAACTGATCTCTGACAAAGGAATAAACACAATTCAATTGGGGAAAAAAGATAGTCTTTTCAACAAATGGTGATCAAAGAACAGAAATCTACATGCAAAACAAAAAAAAAATGAATGCAGTAAACCTTATACCTTTCACAAAAATTAACTCAAAATGGATCAAACACTTAAATGTAAAATGTAAACTATGAAACTTCTGGAAGAAAACATAGGAGAAAAATCTAGGTGATCTTGGATTTTTAGATACAGCACCTAAGACATGATCAATGAACTGAAAAATTGATGGTGGAATTTTATTAAAATTTCAAACCTCTATTCTAAAAGACAGGTGTAGGGTAAATGGAAGTTATGAGGCTTTTCCCTCCCTCCCTCCACTAGCTTCTATGTGGTCTGATAGTGGCTCCTGGAGTGTGGTGTGCACGTGCATGAGTGGGCACACCTGAGCAGGGAGACCGAGCATATACGGGCGGCAGCAGAGGGCAGGGGCAGCAGAGGACCTTGCGGCAGAGTACAGTGGAGAGAAGAAAGAGCACGAGCATATAGGGATTCACA